TTTTGCAGTATCCTTCCCCTGGAGTGGGGAAGGAATGGGCATTTTGCAGTATCCTTCCCCTGCCGTGCCCACCAAGCCACACCACGCTCACCAAGTCACATCACACCCACCAAGCCACGGCTACAGAACCGGTAGTAAAAAAATTGGAATTTCACCACTGAGCAATAGCAATCGCACTTAGACTTATATACCGCTTTACAGCACTCTCTAAGTGGTTTACAGAGTCAGCATATTGCTCCCCAATACTCTGGCTCCTCATGTTACTGACCTCGGAAGGATGGGAGGCTGAGTCAGCCTTATCTGATTCGTATCGAACTTCCTGGCTGTGGGCAGAGTTTAGCCTGCAATGTCGCATTCTAACCACTGTGCCACCACGGCTCTTATAAGTTAGTTTTCAAGTCTAACCTATATCTGTGATTAATGGAAACCCCAGGATGCTTCTGTGCTTATCTATACAGTGTTTTATACCTTGCAGTGCGATGGACAATATATTCCTCTTCCGAGTCTTCAAGGCATAGCTGTTTTGAACATCCCAAGCTACGCTGGTGGGACAAATTTCTGGGGTGGGACCAAGGAAGATGATGTAAGTCTTGCTCTTCAGCTTACGTGCTTCCCAAGTCCTCGGTTTACGACCACAATTGATCCCAACATTTCTGTTGCTAAGTGAGACATTTCCTAAGTGAATTTTGCCACATTTTACAACCTTTCTTGTCACAGCGGTTGAGCGAACCACTGCAGTTTGTTAAGTAAGTCACTCGGTTGTTAAGTGAATCTGGATTCCCCGTTGGCTTGGCTTGTCAGAAAGTCGTGGCCACTGAAACCGCCATAAATGTGAATTGGTTGTCAAGCATTGGAATTTTGATCATGTGACCGTGGGGACAAACTTAGAATAATTTTACTGTCACATTGGATGTACAATGATCGGCACACAATAAAATGAAATTTTGTTGCACACAGCTCTCCAAGGGTCACCAATTCCAGCATACGCGACTGTGAAAATAGCAATAGACTTATACTCTGCTTCCCAGTGGCTTCCCAGCCCTCTCTAAGCCGTTTACAAAGTCAGCCTCTGGCCCCCAACAATCTGGGTCCTCATTTTATCCAACTTTGAAGGAGGGAAGGCTGAGTCAACCTTGAACTGGTCAGGATCGAACTTCCTCGCAGTGGGCAGAGTTAGCTAGCAATTGTGCATTCTAACCATTGGGAGGGAAGGAAGGAAGGAAGGAAGGAAGGAAGGAAGGAAAGAAGGAAGGAAGATAGGCAAAAAGGAAGAGCAATAGCAATAGCACTTAGACTTATATACCACTTCATAGTGCTTTTACGCTCACTCTAAGCCGTTTACAAAGTCAGCCTCTTGCCCCCAACAATCCTGGTCCTCATTTGACCCACCTGGGAAGATTGAAAGGCTGAATCAACCTCGAGCCAGGCAGGATCTTACTGCTAGCAGTGAGCTGAATTACCTGCAATACTGCATTCTAACAACGGAAGGAAGGAAGGAAGGAAGGAAGGAAGGAAGGAAGGAAGGAAGGAAGGAAGGAAGGAGAAAGGGAAGAGCTATAGGAATAGCACTTAGACTTATATACCACTTCACAGTGTTTCTACAGCCTTCTCTAAGCAGTTTACAGAGCCAGCCTCTTGCCCCCAACAATCCAAGTCCTCATTTTACCCACCTCGGAAGGACGAAAGGCTGAGTCAACCTTAAACCGGTCAGGATCGAACTTCCTGGCAGTGGGCAGAGTTAGCTAGCAATTGTGCATTCTAACCATTGGGAAGGAAGGAAGGAAGGAAGGAAGGAAGGGAGGAAAAAGGAAGATAGGCAAAAAGGAAGAGCAATAGCAATAGCACTTAGACTTATATACCACTTCACAGTGTTTTTACAGCCCGCTCTAAGCTGTTGACAGAGTCAGCATATCGCCCCCAACAACAATCCGGGTCCTCATTTTACCCACCTCGGAGGGACGGAAGGCTGAGTCAACCTTGAGCCGGTCAGGATCGAACTTCCTGGCTGTGGGCAGAATTTTTGCCTGCAATCCTGCATTCTAACCACGACTCATTGTGCCTATCTGTGTAAGATGCTTTCAACGTGGGTTTCGCTTCAGGCTGCGAAAGGGATGGTTGGCAGTGGACAGAGAAACTCTTCTCATGCTCCTTCTCTAAATAGCTTTGATAAATGGTACATGTATTGTTGGCATTTCCAACAGCCCAAAGGTTCTCATCTTCTGACAAAAAACTCCAGCCCCAATTCTGTGAACAGTAATTCTTTCCAATACTTTGGTAGTGACCTTTAAAATGACAGTTCCGTTCCAAACCTCTACCTTCTCCGATATTTAAGAAATGCCAATTTATAACCTGGAGCAAAAAACTTAATAATAGCAGTAGCAATAGCAGTTAGACTTATATACCGCTTCATAGGGCTTTCAGCCCTCTCTAAGCGGGTTTACAGAGTCAGCATATTGCCCCCAACAACAATCNACCCTGAGCCGGTGAGATTTGAACCGCTGAACTGCTGATCTAGCAGTAGCCTGCAGTGCTGCATTTAACCACTGCGCCACCTTGGCTCAACACAGAAAGTCGGAGTTTGCAGGTGACGCTTAGACTTCAAATACAGATATTAGAACCAGTACCTGTTCAATTATTTGAGGTGCTTCAAAAGACCACGCCGTTCGAAAATGATGCTTACAACATCAGTATCGACGCCTGAATGCTGCCAGCAGAAATTATGTTCCAACAGGAGAACTAGAACTTGTAGCTACTTAAGATTCTCAACTGAGTCAACTGCAGGGTTGCATGTTCAAGACAAGGATTTTACTCTACCTTTTTGGAATGTGTAAGGGCTGCAGCTCTCCAACAGGCAAGCCTTCTGCAGTGAAGTACTTAAGCACTGAAGTACTTACATCAAGTAAGGCGGAGTCCTTCTGGCCATTTTTAAGGCCCAGCAGCTGTTCAGAAACTCTACAAGGAAAATCAAACCAATGAGCGGAAAGCTACGTTCACACAACAGCTACACACTAACGCATAGGCGTAAATGCTTAATGTTACCTTGTTCTTTGCTTAATCTTCTCAGAATTTTCCAAGTTCTGTAGAACATTTCTTTCCGGCCACTTCAAAGGATTTGAATCTTTTAGCTTTGGTTCTGAGAAAGGTTGGGACAGTGGGCGAGGGGAAGGGCAAGAAGGCAAGGCAAGCATTTAATCCACTGCAAAATCTATGGAACTTCATCTTCTATTTTAATTCCAACACAGCTAAGAAAGTGCTAGCTTTCCATTCGGTGTAATTAAAAGTTCTGCAGACCAAAATTTGAAATTTCTATCCAGCTTCAATGAAATAATTTACAAATCTCTTACTTTTGGCAACAACTCGAAGACCTATTGTTCACTTACTATTAACACCAAGTATGATTAGCTTCAATTATATTTTGTGATAGCAACAAAAACGAACAGGGAAAACAGATGAGACCATTGTAAAGAGACCCAAATCATGCCTTGTGCCCCTTCTTATTCTTTTTACAATCATTCTCACCATAGTGGTCGGGAATACGGGTAGTCCTCAACTTATGACCACAATTGAGCCCAACATTACTGTTGTTAAATGAGTCATTTGTTAAGTGAGTTTTGCCCCATTTTACGACCTTTCTTGCCATGGTTGTTAAGTGAATAACTGCAGTTGATCAGTTAGTAACCCCGTTGTTAAGGTGAATCTGGCTTCCCCATTGAGTTTGCTTGCCAGAAGGTTGCAAAACGGGATCACATGAACCTGGGAATGGCCATAAATATGAACCAGTTACCAAACATCTGAATTTTGATCATGTGACTGTGGGGATGCAGCAAAGGTCATTACAGCGAAAAACAGTCATAAGTCATTTTTCAGTCATTGTAACTTTGAACCGTCACTAAATGAACTGTTGCAAGTTGAGGAGTAATCTTATCCACTAATACCTGGACCGTATTACCTGCTACAAAAATGTTGTCCTCCCAAGTCCTCCATTCATCAATCTCAAAGTTCAAACACCTCCCATTTCTCTACGTGACATTCTGCATTGTGAATGCTCATTTATTAAAACAGTCTAACTTATAGGCAATGTATTTATCCTAATTATTCTAATTAAGTAACAAAATGATGTCCCAAGGGTGCTTTTTCAAGAGACAACTGGACTTTCTGAAGAAGCTTCTTGGATGAGAAGCAAAACAACTTCAAAGAAAAAACCAGAAAGTCCAGTTGCCTCTTGAAAAAACACCTTTGGATGACTGAGAATCTCCAGGGATATTTAACAAAATGATGCCTACCATCAATTGCTTCTTCATCTCTAGTTTTAATAATTGCTCCTGGATAAACAGTACTTGGATGGCTAACCTTCCATAATTCAAAAAAACGTTCCCTGGTGTAGGTTAATAGATATTTCAGTTCATTCTTAAAAGCCACAGGTAGATGCCCAGCAAACGTTTGTCTCTCTGAAAAATAGAAGACAAGGAATTGAAGCGGTCACGGATATGATGTTAATAACCCAGGATGTATAATAATGCTAATTCACTGAATTGAATTATTGCATCATGCTGTTATCAAGTAAAAAATAAGGCAATAAAAACATAATCCCTTTATAAGCTTATGGAGAAATGCTTCAGCAATTTGTTATGCATACATAAACACATGTCATTTGAGCAAGCATTCATAAAACATTTTTTCAAGGTATACTTTTTTTACCAAACTGTTTTCTTGATTTACTGAATGAGTTTAGAAGTTTGCCAAGCAAACATTACAGACTGGAAAATGGAAGGCATCACTCAAGAAGGAATTCTCAAAGTGAAATGACTGGGATTGTCATAGTGTGAGGTTTCCAAAAGATGACCTAATTAGTTTACAAGCCTCGAGACAAAGTTCAAAAGAAATCCATTCATTTATTAGAATCAACATTTTGACATGTTCTTCTGCAGAGCCAAAACTGACTTCCGCTTAATTGCATTTGAACTTTACCCCTGTATGCCCTCCCTTCTGTCTGTGTCATAAATCACATCCACCAAC